ACTTTGGATTGTACATGAAACCTGATAAAAGTCATAGCTCATTCCTCATTATTTGATTTTTTTTCAGTATTTTATTTTTAAAAAAATATTGATAAGTGCTGCATTTATATTTGCTGGTCTAAATTCTTCCATATTTCATTTTTTTAGCCCTTTAGAGCTATGTTTAAGCATGTTTTATTTTCACTGAAGCACAGATAATTAGAAGTATCTTATATCATGTTCTCCCCCAGGTTTATCTCTATAGCAGAGAGAAAGGGTGGAAACACTTCAGCTTAACCCAGGTCTCTCAAGGGCCACCCTTGTGAAAACAGCCATTGACTGCCACCACCCTAGCCATGGGCAATAAAAAGTTTAGGCTTCTAAGCTCTCAGATAGACAGAGACATCAGACATCTACAGGACTCCATCGGGCAGTTGGAGAGACAGATTAATTCCCTAGCTAAAATTGTGCTACAGAACAGAAGGGGGATAGACCTACTGTTTCTAAAGGAAGATGGCTTATACATGGCCTTAGGGGAGGTTTGCTGTTTTCACGCCAATATTTCAGATGTAATTGAGTTTTACTGGGCCTCTGGTAATATACCTTCTAGCCTTTACAGTGGGTCCATGCCTCCTAAATTGCCTAACCAGATAGATCAGGAGGCATCCAAATGCCATCAAACTAGGGTTCTAAGGACCAAATATGAGCTTCAAAATCAAAACAAGTCAAAGATTTGAGTTACTTCCCAGAACCAGTGGGGAATGTAAAATGCCTCCATTTTATGTAAGTTTAACTGGTCAGTCATCTAGCCACCCAAAAAGGTGGGTGTTATGCTAAATAGATGGGCGGAATACCTAGTACATTAATGAGATAGCTACTTTTTTTTTTCCTGCCTGTAATCTTGCCTATAGGGGCAGAACCTCCTGGCTACGGCCATGTAGTCTGTGAGTTGTCCTGAATTCTTCAGGGAAGTGTAATTTCCCTTTTTCTTCTTCACGCCTTTCTTACTAAACATGCTTTCTTTAAGGCTTTGGGCTGCCCTGAGCATCTTGTGTTTCTTTGCTTTTCCTCTAAAGCTTCCTTCTCCCAGCCATGTGACTGCCACTCAGTCATGTGTCTGACCTACCATTCACCTCCTCAAGGCAGCTGCCAATATTACCAGCTCACCTGCCCTGAGGATTTCTTTTTCTTTAAATTCTAATAAAGTTGTAAAAGCTTAAAAAAAATAAAAAATAAAATAATTCTATAACTGAATTTTAAGTGGACCATTCCTCATCTATAATGTGCCCCAAATGCAACTTTATTTTCCTGATACCTTGATGCAGGATAAAATTTTTCATCCTAGGGGCTGGAGAGATGGCTCAGCAGTTAAGAGCACTGACTGCTCTTGCAGAGGACTGGGATTCGATTCCCAGCACCCACATGGAGGCTAACAACTGTCTGTAACTCCAGTTCTGGGGGGATCCGACAGCCTTTTTTCTGACCTCCTTGGGCATTGCATGACATGGGTGCACTTACACACATGCAGGCAGAACACTCATACACATAAAATAAAAAAAATAATAAATAAAAAATTTTTTAATTTCATCCTAGATGCAAGAAGCATTCCACAGTTGAGGATTGGGCAAGGAAGCCTAAGGAGCACTTCACAACACACCCTAATCTCTATCATAAGTCCGTGCAGCTCAGTACAAAGCTCTGATAAGTCCTGCAGTACAAAGCTCAGGTCACTTCACCTAGCCCGCTCTCCTGAATGTATCTAACCTAAGAACCCCTTTTTCTTCTTTTAATATCTGCCAACATCTTGCAATAATGTAGTTTTATGGGACATAATTGCCAAATATTAACCTAAAAGTAAAAATTCTCACTCTTTAGCTATTTTTAAGATTCCTCCTCAATTCCAAACCTCTACTCCCAATACCCCTCTTCAAAGACCCTTGATTTTCATCATACAGGTTACTTTTCTTCTCAACTACAATAAGCTACCCCAAACTTCTAAGTGTTTTCTTCCAACTATTTGTAGAACATAAATGGTTTTCCACATCTCTACCCTTATCTCCCAAGAACCGGGGAAATGAACAGCAGATCCCAATCTTATCTAAAGGAATGCTGGCAACTGATTACTGGTAGATGAGGAAGAGCTGATCTTCCTAAAACAGGGAACTCTAGATAGGCTGACTAGACTCAGTGGATGGACTAGCACTGGGAAATGGTTGGGGACACTGATAACACAGTGGACACTAACAGGGATGACAGAGTATATGGGTGCCAGTAGGGGGTGGGGGGATGCTATGAGAGGGTGACATTTGGGATGCGGGTATAAAGATGAATAAGATTGTTTGGGATGTTCTGTATGAAATACACTAAAAAAAATCAATAAGTTAAAAAATGAGTTATATTTAAGGAAGAAGCATAAAAGTTTGCTTCATGTTAATTAGTAGAAATGAAAAACATTACCATTGAAATCTACCTGATGAATTTATATCTATGCTCAGGTGCCAAGGATCTCAGAAAGTAACCGACTGTGACTAGTAATAATCAGATCTATAGAGATTAGAGATGCATGTGCAAACATGTAACTGTTAGTAGCATTAAAAGTGAGTTTTTCTGTATGAAACAGTATATTTTGCCGGATGTGGTGGCCTTTAATCCCAGCACTCAGGAGGCAGAGGCAGGCGGATCTCTGTGAGTTCAAGGCCAGCCTGGTCTACATAGTGAGTTACAGGACAGCTGGAGCTACAGGGAGACCCTGACTCAAAAAGACCGAAAAAAACAAAAAAGTGAAATGGGGATCTTTTTTAAAGGTTAAAACCTCATTCAATTTTATCTTATAGGGTTTATACTGAGTACAATAACGTATAACTGCATTAATTCAAATACTGTGAACCTAAAAATTACAGCCAACTTTGAAAGAGGTGCATCTTTGCTCTGGAAGCTGTTATTGACTGTGTCAATGCTATTGTAATGAGATGCTTCTACTAATTATGTGCTTATTAAATAAAAATTTAAAAATAAAAAAATTAAAGTGATAAACTGATGGGGCTGGGGATGTAGCTTGTTTGGTAGAGTATTCGTCCAGCATGCATGAAGTCCTGGGTTTGATCCGTGGCACTGCATAGACCAGGCATGGTGGTTTATACCTGTAGTCTCAGCCTTTGGGAGGCAGAAGTATAAAAATCGAGAGTTCAGTCATCCTCCACAATACAGCAAGGCTGAGGCCAGCTTAAAATACATGAGATCCTGTCTCAAAATAACAATGAACTGAACAGTGTTCTGGCCAAGAGAAACAAAACACAAAAGTATATACATACCTTTATGCCATGTCTGCAAAGTTAAGAAACTGGTAAGAATTTATATATGGTATAAGAAGTCAAATGTCAGTTGCTCTTCTTAGGGGGCACTGACTGAAAGGGATTCTGGAGTCTATTTATTTATTTGAGTGCTAGCTTGATATAATTTTTACTCTGTAAAAAATTGGGTTATGAACTTTTTATTTGTTTACTTATCTATGAACTTATGACAGTACAAACTTCACATTTAAAACAAATGAACTTTTGAGGTCAGTACCAGCTTGATTTCTCCTTGTTTGTTCTACGACACATATATGTTATGTCTTCAGCAATAGACTCTTACCTTCAAGTTCTGGCAGGTAACCAAAAGCAATGAAAATAGCCAGTATTGCTTGGGGGTTATGCGGACACCCCCCCCCCAGTAAACAACTCCAAAAGTGGGTATCCATTCCTGGCATTGGGTTTTTTATTTACTATCCTGTGTTGTCTTTTAGTGGTAGTATCCTCTCCTTCCCTATTATAGAGTAACTCCACTTAGACTCTTTCAGATTGTATATGTATGTATTTTAAGAAACTTTTAGGAGATATGGGAGGAGTTGGAGGGGAGGGAGTGGGCATGGATTTGATCAAAACACCTTATATGCATGTATGAAATTCTTAATAAATTATTTATTTAAAAAAAGAAACTTCTATAATAGGTTTCCATATGGACTTTTCAAAAGGCTTAAAGGCTTTTAGTGTTAATTATCCCTTCCCATATGAGTGAAACGTGCCTGAAGAACAATGGGTGGTCACAGCAGACTTCTGCTGATAGTGTACACTGGTGGCAATTCAATTGTATTGTCCAAAGGATAACAGAAAAAGATTAATGCTGCTGGATAAAGCTATTCCCAGAAGTCACAGGTTATTAAATAAAAATCTCAGAACCAGGGGTAGGCTACCTCTCTAAGAGCTGTTGGTCAAAGAGGCCCCTAAAACTCCTAAAACAATACAGGCAATTGCCACTGCTGTTGGTTGTACATAAGAACCAGATGAAGACAGCACACACATGGGTTGTAGGTCCTAGACAAATTCAGCTAGAATTGAACTGGAAGCATCCTCGCTGCTGGCTATTCTCGTAGTCCCAGAAGGTTCTATATGGGTCACTAGGGAAGAACTGTCACTAACAGTTTTACTCAGCTGTGGATTCTATATTGATCAGCCAGGCTGTGCCTGCTGGTGTAATATCAGTAAGTCTGTTATAAGGGTAACCAACAACTTTATGATTGAATTTGAGGCCCACTCCACAGGAGGGAATTCACATCTGGTACCATAAATTCAGTCAAAAGCCCATGGTTGCAATAGAATAGGCCCTACTGGGGAAGCAGCTGCTGTTGTTTTGCTAAATAGGCACAATGTGTCCATCAAACTGCCCTCTAAATAACCAGGTTTATTTCCAGATATTAGTGCTGCTGTTAACTTTGGTCAGAGAAGCTTCTTTCTCGATGGTCAGTAGTAACTACAGAGACTCATAACTGGTAAAAGTGATAAGAACAAATGACTGCTGACTATTCCGCCATAAATGGATCACCTATATCACTTCCTCCAAGACTCAATGAATACTGTGAACCCTAATCCTAACCCTAAATCTAACAGCAATCCTAACACTAACGCTAACCCTTTCTTTTTTCAGTTTAAAAGGATTTTAAAAATGGAGTAAGGTTCCTGTTTTACCAGAGGTCCACACCATACCTTCTCTTCTGAAGAGACAGTCAGCTTGTCACTGGATATCAAGCTGCATACCTGGTCCAGACTTAAGCTAAGAAACTCTTCCCCCAGCATTACCTCCGGGAAGTGCTGCTCTGTTCAAAAAAAAAGACAGATAGAAAGAAAAGAAAAGAAAGAAGTTAAGACAACAATGTTTTAACATACTCCTGTTCTTCCCGAAGCCAACACCATAACAATCTGTAGGATTCAGAGTAGAGGCGAGAAGGAGTAGGGTGGAGAACTGGAAGAGATGGGGGATGTGGGTGGAGGACTGGAAGAGATGGGGGATGTGGGTGGAGGACTGGAGGAGATGGGGGATGTGGGTGGAGGACTGGAGGAGATGGGGGATGTGAGTGGAGGACTGGAGGAGATGGGGGATGTGGGTGGAGGACTGGACGAGATGGGGGATGTGGATGGAGGACTGGAAGAGATGGGGGATGTGGGTGGAGGACTGGAGGAGATGGGGGATGTGGGTGGAGGACAGGAGGAGATGGGGGATGAGGGAGAGACAAAGACAGAGGCACCCTGACTATAGGAAACTAGCCTTTTAATTCAGCAGTGAAGGCATGTGTCATCCCATATAATCCTCTGTCCTGAACACAGACGGAAGTGGGGCAGAGACAGCTGAGTTTATATTTTTTCTACTCTCTGTGAGATTGATACAGGCACTGCAGAAACTCTTCACCGGAACAGGCTTACAGAAGTGAGCTCATTTGCTGTCCAGGCACAGCAAACTTCTGTTCAGCTTAGCCAAACAGAAGTGTTTCAGAATCACTATGTGATGGAAAGTTTCTAGAATTCTTGTAGGATGTCAACATTAGCAAATCAGAAGATGGGATCATCCTTCCTTTACCCAAATCAAGCCTATTTTAGTGAGTCTCTGTCTGGCAAAGATGTCCAACTAAGCATTCATCTGGATACAGTGGCAATAGATTGGCTCCATCTCCATTGGGAACAGCCTACAGTAGCCAGTCTGGGGAACTGTCAAATGGAGGGAAATCTGGGGTTGGCTAACACAAGACAAAACCTATTGGCCTGAGGTCCACAGAAGGAAAGTATCAAGGGCAGTTTTGACCTTGATTTTTCCTGGCCCATCATCCACAGCATTGTGTCCATTGAAATGTCACCTGCCTCAGAAAAAAGAAACCTAAGTTCAAATTTGGCTTTACAATTTATGAGCTCTATCCTTGGACCAATGGCATCCTTTCAGTGGGCTTCACAATAAGGACAGATCTGTAAGCATTTTGCAAGATTTTCTGAGGTAAATTCACCCAAAGACAGACATTTTCCAGTTCAGAAGGCTCTGGGACTCACAAGTCCTTACCACTTGCCCCAGATATTGCTCCTTTTTAGGTCTCTTACCACCCTGTGCCATTGAGGAGCATCCATGACCCTTGCCCTCCAGGCCTCGACTCTTTACCCTCTAGCCTGGTAGCTTCTTAATAATTCTAATGGGCTACACTTCCCAGTTCTCACTGGCCTCTTCAATGAGATTTAGAGTCCTCTAGTCCTAGAAGGTTATCAAAATACCAAGTCTTCTAAAACTTACAGTAAAAAAATAAAATTGAAGCAATTAAGTTACTTCCACATTCAATAATTTCTCAAAACACAACTATTCCCAAAAGAATGTATTCAAATCATTTCTTATAAAAATCATCTTTCATGGTGGCACATGCCTATAGTCCCAGAACTTGGAGGCAGAGGCAGGCGGATCTCTGAGTTCAAGGCCAGCTTGGTCTACATGGTGAGTTCCAGGACCGCTGGGGCTACAGGGAGACCCTGCTTCAAAAAGATAAAAAAAAAAAAAAAAAAAATCATCTTTATCTTTTTAAACTGAAATCACTTCAGACCTAATGAGTTCTCACATGAATTCCTGCCTTCATCTAAGTTACCTAAATGTTAGTATTTTATTCTTTAAAAGTGGAGTTATAAACATTTTTTCCTAGGTAAAATGTGACCCCGCTCAACCTGATGATATCACTGTGGTCATGATTATAACTTGTCTGTCTTGAAACTCAGCAATGTTTGTTTATAAGACAAATCTGCACGTCAGATTCTTAGTGAAGGAAAGCAACTGCCATAAGAGGTTAGAAGCTGGTCTTTATTTCTCTGCATATCAATAGGAAAGCCTTTGACTTTTAGGTTCTCAAGAGAATCCTAGAAACCTGCACATCTGGTTTTCCCACCAACAAAGAAAATGACAAATGGAAGAAGGAAAAGAATGAGAACAGGAGGAGGTTACAAAAATAAAAAGTAAACTTCTGTGCTGCGAAAAAACAATACTGCATTACAGTTCATGAAGCCAAAAATACCTGGACTTGGACCTTGAAAAGGAAGACAACAGAATTTGCAAAATATGCCTCCTACATGACTTGAGAAGCAAGCCAGAAATCCTTGGGGTAAATGGAGGCAGAAAATAGCCCCCTCTTCCATCGCTTGCCCTGCAGAGCAGTGCAGGGTCTCAGTGTAGGTCCCTTCTTTCTGAGGAGGCTGTTTCTTTATCTGTAAGCGGCCTTCCACTAAAATGCCACTCTGAAATCCTCCCCATGGGGACATGGGGAGGTGCAACAATCGAAGTAAGGGGAAGCAGCTTCTCCTCGAAGGCTGGTTTCTGAGGACCCAGAACATGAGGAAGAGACAAAGAAGAAAACTTTCCCGCCAGCTCTGAGCCTGTGGAAGCCTACTGGGAAGTTCAGACTTTGAAAAGACAAATATTATAGAAGGCTGTGGTACACGGCCATTTTAATGCATACAGGTAGAGCTCAGGAGGCAACTAAACTTAGGGCTCTTCCTAAAATTGAAGGTGCTTATTCCCAAGATGAAACTAAATTCCAAATAGGTAAGAGATGTGATTATAGGTACAAAACAAAACATAACAAAACAACACAATGGCATAAGAAAGCCAGAGAAATCTAGGGAAAAGTGATTCGTGCACATGCTATCAATGCCATGTTGCCCACCAAAATTGGAATCAACTTTCCTATAAAGGTCACAGAACCTATGTGATATTGCACTCCTCAAGGACCTTAATGAAAAGTAAATAAATAAAAATGAATTTGGGAAGGAAAGGGAATGGGTGGGAAGAGGAAGAGAAAGTAGAAACACTGAAAGAGAAGAGAGGAGGAGGAGGAGGAGAAGGAGGAAGAGGGGGAAGAGAAGGAAGAGGAGGAGGAGGAAGAGGAGGAATAGGAGGAAGAGGGGGAGGAGGAAGAGAAGGAAGAGGAGGAGGAAGAGGAGGAGGAGGAGGAGAAAGAGAAGAGGAGGAAGAAGAGGAGGAGGAAGAGGAAGAGAAGAAAGAGGAGGAGAAGGAAGAGGAGGAGGAGAAAGAGAAGGAGAAAGAGGAGGAGGAAGAAGAAGAGGAAGAGGAGGAGAAGGAGGAGGAGGGAGAGAAGGAAGAGGAGGAGGAAGAAAGGAACAGAGGGAACGGGAAGAGGGAAACACCATTTCTCTCTGTAGTCTGAGGAGACAAAGTTTAGCTCCAGTCTTTGGCTCAGAGTTCTCTTTCTGTTAGCAACACTTGAGAAACAACAGGATAGAAAAATCAAGAACAAGATGTCCTAGCTAACTTGACTTCCTGGGATGCAGGATTTCTTCAGAAGACTATGGACTCAAACTTCTCCAAAGCTGTTTCCTAGAAAGTACCACTCTGCTTCTGAAAGGTACTTCCCTGAGAATCATCTTCTATTTTAACAGTTACTTGGTTTTTGTTTTGCTTAGATTTTAATGTATTTTTTTATTTTGGTTATTGTATATTTACTTCATTTTTTGTTTTGAGGCAAGTCCTTTCTGTGTATCCAAGGCTGGTTCAAACTCTCAATTAATCCTCCTACCTCAGTCTCCTAAGTACAAGCATGCACCACTACACTGGCATGTCACTAATACAGAATATATGGCAAGGAGCCTTGGTTTACAGAAGACCTGGGTTCACCTCTTACATCACTTTTTTCCAGACTTTGGGTTCCTCACTGGTAAAACGTAACCATGATACTTGACCTAGGTCTTGTTTTAAGGATCAAAATAATATTAAGGCTCAAAAAGTATTGATTTACTTTGGATTCCATAAACTGCTCATTGGAAATTAATAATGAATATCATCGGCCATGTTCCCACTTCACAAAGTCCAGCTGTGAGGCAGCAGTGCTCAGAGAGGCCTGTCCATAGCTTTGAGACATTATCTGAGAGAGACTATAAGTCTATGGAGCTGCAAAGTCTTAGATATCAAATTTAATTCCATTAAATTGAACATATTGGGCCCTATGTCAGTCCCTGGGAGATGCCATGGAGAGTCAGATAAACTAGGTCTTTGGGAGAGACACTCATACAGGAGCACAGTATCCCTTAATCATGGGCTGGTTCAATGAAGGTAACATACCAGTAAGAAGTTGTAAGTTTCCTTGTTATTTGCTTCTTTATTCATTAAAGAGCAAAGAAACAGATAAAAGGAATCAATTAAGGTAAGGGTCCTCATTTACTACTTCTGTCACATCCCCAGACCAAACTAATTTCTTACTATATTCTAAATACATATCCTCATATTTAGAAACAAGTATGCCTCTCACCACTCATCAAAGAAGCTTCTTTTTTCAATAGATCTATCTATTGACTTGTATGAAGTCTGACAACTGGTCAAATGCAGAGAATAAGTGACTATGCCATACCCAGCCTTAGGTGACAATCTACAATGCCATCTACAACTAAGGCTCAGGGGATATTGCAGAAGAGAGGCGAAAAGCATGTAAGAGCCAGATGGAAAGACAGCTGCTGCTACTTAAGGCATTCTAAACACGGTAAGGCAGCTACACCAATGAAATCTCCACAGTGTGGTAGTCCACCAAGATCTGCATATAATAACAAATCCCCTTGACATACCAAGGTGGACAGGGGAAATCTTGAGGGACCCACCTCAAGATGAAGAGCTGTAGGCATTAAATGGATGCTGAGGGAGGGAGAATCAGTTTTCTCCAGGGTCTAGTTCCCTGAGGGGATATCTTACTCCATGCTAGGCACACAGGAGCCCACTGAATGGACTGATATATCTATATATAGATATATATAGTCAGTAAGTATAAAGACAGACTTTGAAACCAAGGCTACC